GAATTTATTTTGAATAAACTTTGGTCTTTCGCAAATGGTATGAAGGGAGAAAAAAGAGTAAATTCCATCTGTTTCGCCAAACGCCTCGCCATATGCAACATCCCGTGTCGATTTCCTCACACCTTTTCCTGACTGGTTTTTAAATGACCCATCGGTAACTAGCATAACGACCTGCTGTCTCGGACTTTCGGATAATCTTGACAACAGCACCTCTCCTAAGGCCCAAGTACTTTGCAACCGGGTCCGTCGACTGAATTCTGGGTAGCTGAGTCTGCTTCAAACGGTATCGCTGTAGCAGCTGTTGCTTCTCTTGATCGCTCAACAGCACGTGCTTGGGTACAAGCTCGTGCTTTGTGATGTTGACCAGCAGGTCCTGCTCGACAAAGACCTCTACGCCGCCCTTGGGACCGTCGGTGATGCTCGTAGCGCCGCGGAGAAGTCGAATAGCCATACCGGTCATGGCCTTGACGGTGACCATGATTCCGGAGTGGAAGGAGCCGTTGACCAGATGTGCCATGTACTCGCGCAGCTGCTTCATGCCCACATTCTCGTCGGCATTGAACTCGACCCAGATGGTACCGATATTGGGGGTGGGGTTGGGGTTCTTTTTTGTCGGGGCGTCAGTGTACTTTGCCAGCATTTCCTCGGAGGGCTGGCAGGAAAAGTTGAGGCGCGAGCGGCTGCGAGAGGGTTAGTGCTGGCTAGAAGTGAGGGTGCTGTGTAGTGCCTACTCGGGCTCGCCGTCTTCGCGCGCATATCTCCGTGAGAATTCCTCGAGCGACATGTTCATGTCATCCTCAACCACCATGTAGCCCTTGAATCGAGTCAGCGCGCAGTCTGGCATTGCTCACGGCGCAACCTACCCGGTCGTTCATCATCTCCTTGGTGGTGCGCCAGACCCTCCAGAGGCGGATCAAGCTTGGGTTATACCTTTCGCCGTCCATGTTTGCAGTCTCTGGGGTCGGAAGAGGGTTTCGGATACGGATGTGGTGGGGAACGTCGGCGCGAGCGTGGTCAAAGTTGTGTCGCGTCAAAGAAATCTCCAGAAGTTCCAAAGGTTCAGACTTGGCGTGCATGTGCGCTAGCAGCCCTAGCGCCGCTCTTGGGCTAACCCCACCAAGTGCGGCCATCTCGAGCACGAAAGCATGGCCTCGTCAAACGAAATCCCCAACCTCAAGACGCTTCTCGGCCAACGTCGTGGGGGGCCATCAAGAGGAAGAGAATCTGGAAGAGGCGGACTGGGGCGTTCTAGCGAAGAGCGAGCACAGATCCTGGACAATGCCGTCAAGGGTACCGACCAAGATGCTGCGGGGAGCAGGGTGAGCTGTGTAGAGCTAGGATATCTCCACGACCCATATGCCAAACTGTTCGCAACACAGCCGGCTACCAGAAAGCTGCCACTGCTGAACAGAGGAACCTACGTGCGCACATCGGCCATCGACCTTCTAGTCGCCAAATTCCTCGACACCAACCCTTCTGCGCCAAAGCAGATTGTTTCGCTCGGTGCTGGCACTGACACACGCTTCTTTCGTCTCCTCGACCGCTATCCGCAAGTGCGACTGATATACCACGAAATCGACTTTCCTACAAACACATCGTCAAAGATTTCTGCCATACAAAGGCAACCACTGCTTCACAAGAAGCTACTGCATATGCCCTCCAACTCGGACTCGTACCATTCAGATAACTACAACATCCATGCCCTTGACTTACGCTGTCTGGCCAATCCAACAGACGAGGCGCCTCTGCCTCAGATAACGAACCTGGACGCCAGCATACCTACCATGATTCTATCAGAGATGTGCTTGGTCTACCTCCAGCCTTCTACAGTACAGTCAATAATCTCGTCGTTGTTGACGCACTATTTGCAGCCCATGACGCCTGCTTCCCTTGTACTTTACGAGCCAATTCTACCGCAAGACGCCTTTGGTCAAACCATGATTTCAAACCTTCGGACACGTAACATCTACCTTCACACATTGATTGCGTACCCCGGGCTCGGAGACCAGCGCGCACGTTTACAGGGCTATGGGCTGAAGACTGGAGCAAAGGCAGCGGACACGCACACGATTTGGCGAAGATGGATCAATGATGAAGAGAAAGAGCGCATCGCTAGTCTGGAGTTTCTAGACGAGCTGGAAGAACTTGAACTGCTGTTACAGCACTACTGCATTGCATGGGGTTGGAGAGACGGCCAAGAAGATGTCTTCTCCAAGGCATGGGAAGACGTCAAAGAGTAGATTTTGTAGTTTCTATGGATTTGTATGACTAGAAATACTAGGCTCGACAGTCAATCGTAAATATGAAATCCCCCGTGTAACATGTACAAGTTTGTGATGCGGTGGTTGTAGAGTAAACATCAGCACGTGCGCGCGCGACAGAGGACCTTACACGCTAAGCCCTATCCGACGGCGGTGCTTTGAACCCTCTCGTCCGACTGTTGCGACAACAAGGACTACACACCACCTACTCTCTCTAGACCCCGTATCAGCCTGGTAGCAAAGAGACGGTATTCAAATACATGCCATGGCCTAGTCGCGACTGTTTATTTCACATCTCTACCAACTTAGCTTCACCCACCTCAATTCCAAGACAACAAACAAACAACGGTCATTCCCACAATGGCTGTACGCAACACGAACCAGCCATCCTTCAACTTCCTCACCGGCGAAGAGGAGCCTGCGCCTGCGCCAGTAGTTGCGAAACGAGAACCTCTGCGAGAAACCTTCCGAACCACATTGAGAGCCTCCCAGAATGCGCCGCACACGGTTGTGCCCTCCGATCCTATCAATGAAGACCTCCGCGCGCAGCTCAATACGCTGCGATATGAACTCGAGACGGCAAAGCAGGAAAAGGAGATGATGAAGTTGGAGCATGCGCAAGAACTGCGAGACGCTCAGAACCGTGCTGATACCGACTTTCGAAAGGCCCAGCAAGTTGAGGCTTCCAGCACTCAAACGGCCAAAAAATATGAGGCGCTTTCCAAGGAAATGGCCGAACTTCAGACACGCACTGCAAACGAGCGACTAGCACTGGAGAGGCGGTTGCGAGAGAGTCAAGAGAGGGCGCAATCGATACAAGAAGAGTTTGACGAAGTTAAAGAGGAATTGTCGACTTCACAACGCCAGAACGACCACAGGTACAACACCTTGCAGACCGAACACAAGAAACTCAAGGAGAGCATGGAGGAGGTACAGGTAGACTTGCAATCCAAAGTCAACGCGCTGCAGAACACACAGCGAGCGCTCGCGGAAAAAGAAGAGGAGGTTGGACAGAAGGAGGCCGAGATCTTGCGCCTCAAGGCAATTACAGGGGATGCAGAGACGCTAGCAGTCATTAAAAGGGAGCTCTCCGATCAGGTGGCACATATTAAGAAGCTTGAGACCTTGACCAGGGAGCAGAATGCTGAGCTGAAGCAATACCGGAAACAGCACAAGGCTATCGAAGTCGTAGAGGAGGAGAAGAGATCACTACAAAACAAACTGCACATGATGGATGACCTGCAGCGGCAATTGGGCGAAGCGGAATTGCGGAGACAGGTCCTTGAGGAAGAGCGAGACTCTTGGACTTCATACTTGGAGGCTGAAGCCGAGACACACGGCGAGGTACTCTTCGAAACACCCCAAGACCTTGCGCGGGCTTTCATTCAAGAGCGGATAGAGAGGACCGATCTTCTCAACCGGTTGGGCGAGATCAAGCCAGAACTTTCGGTCAGAGAAGCAACGATTCAAGTGCTTGAAGAAGAAAAGGCCCAGCTACAAGCAGAGATCCAGCAGCTCAAGACAGTTGGAAGTACAAGTGGAGCGAACAGCGCCGATGCAAAGGCTCGAGCGCGTCTTGAAAGACAAAAGGCTCTGGCAACCAAGGAGGTTGAGTTTCTGCGTGCTCAAGTAAAGGCCTTTGATGACGAAGAACGCGAAATGCAGCCTGACACATACGACCAAGCAAAGTCTGAGCGGATAAAAGAGTTGGAGGATCTTGTAGATCAATACCGCAAGGAAGTTGAGGCCCTACAAAAGGAGCTTAACAGTTTCGAAAAGCCCGCTCCCTCAACAGCAGGCCAAAAGCGCTCCCTGGAGACGGACGAGAACGAGGAACGCGTTGGCGAGCTACGACGAAAGAACCGACAACTACAAGACGACCTCCACGCGCTCCAAAAGAAGATGAAGATTGTCGAGTCCGAATACACAGCCCAACACACCCAACTCAAAAAGCTCAAGGAATCCTCCCGCACCCGCGTCCTAGAACTAAAATCCAACCCCACCGCCGACGCCGAAGCCCTCAAACTAAGCACCGTGCGCACCCTCCGCGAAGCAAACGCCCAACTCCTCGACCAGCTCGAAAACGGCAAACAGGCCCCTTCAGCCGTGCCCCTCGCCACGCTCGACGCCGCGCGCGATGAACTCGAAGAACTCAAAGCGCAACTCGCCTCTTCGTCGAAGAAAATCGTGCGCCTGAAGCAAATCTGGACCGCCAAATCCCTCGAGTTCCGCGAGGCCGTCGCCTCCATTCTCGGCTGGAAACTCGACTTTATGCCCAATGGGCGCGTCAAAGTTACCAGCATGTTCAAGCCTGCGGATGAGGAAGGGGAGAATAGCATTGTGTTTGATGGCGAGAATGGCACCATGAAGGTGAGTGGCGGGGAACAAAGCGTTTTCGCGGGTGAGATTCGCGATCAGATTGTTTATTGGGTCGAGGGTAGGAAGGAGATTCCTTGTTTTCTTAGTGCGTTGACGCTTGAGTTTTGGGAACGCGGGCCGGGGGGGCAGACGATGCATGGGTGATTTTGATTTTTTTTCTTCTCTTTCTTTTCATATAGACGAATATGGGAGGGAGTGGGCGTTTGTATTCGTGATTGTTGAGTTGGGGGCTTTTCCCTCTGGTGGAATAGGGAAGGGGGACTATATTAAATGATATCCATGTTTACTTTCTCCTCTTTCCTTCTACACTACACCTTTTCTTACAGATATGGAGCTTTTTCTCTCTTCTAAGACACGCAATCATACCATCCCTAACCTTCTCATTTCCCGCTCTACATTCTGGTTCACTGGTGCTCTTGTATCTGAGTCTCTTGCTTCTCTCGCCCTATATGCCTGCCATCCTCCTTGTCCCATTCTACGATCGCGACTTTGGTCCCCCTTTAGCCACGAAAACCAGCCCATGACCCAGCACCACACGAAAAAAGTGGCGGCTAGGAAGTCAAAGCAGAGTAGCGCTGCGGTGCTGGGGTTGATCCACGCGGGCTTTGCGACTTTGGATTGGGACGGAGGCGTGGTGTGCGGATGCGATTCGTGGTCATCATCTCCTTTGTCTTCTTTCTCATACGTGGATGCACTCGTTGCGACGGCCGTAATAGTACTTGTTAGAATATTTGGACTTGTAGACTCTGAAGCATGAGACTTTGTACTTAAGTATATGTGTATTGTTGCTATAGGTGTAGCGGCGAGCGCTGGTATATTTGCATTCGGATATGCGATCGAGGGTGTAGTGGATGCTCGAGTAAGATGCGTGGTTGGTGCGAAATCGAAGACTGATATAATGAGTGTGGACGTGGTCGTTACTGTAACGTTGGTAATGCTGTGCGCAAGTACCGGGGTGGCTGCGTAAAGAATGAAAAGCCAGAGTCCAAGGAGCGTGAACATGGTGAATGTGATGGGCTACAGTGTTTGTGGTACAGGTTTTCTTTGTGTCGATTTGCTAAGGTGTTTGGAAATGAATGGAATGCCACGTCTTGTAGCGAAAGACAGATGAACAGTTACGAAAAGGATAGACAGTGGGATGCGGAGAACATCAAAGACGACGCATGAGAAAACAGCTCTTATACAAAGAAAGGCTGACTGAATGAGCGCACAATACACATGATTTCGCTCAATAGATGTTGAATTATAGCGAGAGGGGTGGCTTGGTGAAGGCGGAAAGCAAGCCACTGTTCTAGTAGTCGGTGAAAAGAATAAAGCCTCTCATATATACACATTCACATAAATCCTTTTGCCTTCATCTCAGGAAATAAAACGCCAGAAAATTCCGCCAAAGCGTGCGCACATGATTTCGTCATGTCATATCTCATCATTGGGCCTTGTCCCATGGCAATGCGAATGTAGACACCCAGTCCGCAACTTCCTTCTTGAGCTCAAGAATCTCGGTAATATCTTCACCTTCACCAACGTATTCCTTGAAAGCCGCGACGCTGGTGGGGTTCTTGCGTCCACTCTCCTCGGCCTTCTTCTTGGCCTCCTTGTCCAGCTTTTGGGTAATGCCGACAGCACGATGCACAACGTCAGCTACGCGCTTAAAGTCGGAGGCTTGGAAGCCACGGGTGGTCATGGCTGGTGTACCAAGACGCAGGCCACCAGGCTTCATGGCTGATTTGTCACCAGGAACAGTGTTCTTGTTAGATGCGACGCCAACGAGCTCAAGGATGCGCTCCACACGTGCGCCATCGACGCCGCGATCCTTGAGATCGACAAGGACAAGATGGTTGTCAGTGCCACCAGAGACGATGTTGTAGCCCAGACCGCCATTTTCCTTTGAGTCGCCAAGTCGTTGTGCGAGAGCCTGTGCGTTCTCCAGCACTTGCAGCTGGTAGTCTTTGAACTCCGGGGTTGAGGCCTGTTGCAGGGCTACGGCAAGAGCAGTAATTGTGTGATTATGGGGACCTCCCTGGTGACCTGGGAACACGGATGCGTTGATGGGGCCTTCTAGGTCATAGAGTTCCTCTTTTCCTTTCTTGTCAACCTTCCTTACACCCTTGCGGTAAAAGATCATGGCACCTCGCGGGCCACGCAGAGACTTGTGGGTTGTGGTGGTGACGATATCGGAGTGAGGGAACGGAGAGGGGATGACACCAGCAGCAACAAGACCTGAAATGTGAGCCATGTCTGAGAGTAGGTAGGCACCGACATCGTCTGCCAGCTTGCGCATGCGCTCGTATTCGATCAATCGACTGTATGCCGATGTGCCAGCAACGATAACCTTGGGTCTGTATAGATGGGCCAATTCAGCCATTTTTTCGTAGTCGATGATGCCCGTCTTCTCGTTTAGTCTGTATGGGAGGGTTTCGTAGTACTTGGAAACGGCAGAAATCTTCTTGGTAGGGGTTTGGTAGCCATGGGACAAGTGGCCGCCATGGGGCAGGTCGAGACTGAGGATACGGTCGTGTGTGTTTAGGACAGCTGAGTAGGCATAGAGGTTCGCGGGGGATCCGGAGAGAGCTGGCGCAGAATTGTCAACTATTATGTGGTTGTTGTTATCATCACGACTGACTCACCCTGGACATTGACACCCCACTCGGCAGGGTTAAGACCAAAAGTCTTCAAAGCCCTTTCCTGGCACAATCGCTCTGCCTCGTCAATGTGCTCATTTCCTCCGTAGTATCGCGCGCCTGGGTATCCTTCCGAGTATTTGTCTGTGGCGTGGTATTAGCTTAGCGTAGTGTTGGGGCGGCGTGAAGCCTACTCTGCATAACACTGCCGAGAGCATCGAGAACTGCTTGCGAGGTAAAGTTCTCCGAGGGAATTAGGTTGATAAAGTGCTTCTGGCGATTCTTCTCCTGCAGTGGTGGTATTGTGAGTATATGCATTCTGGCTCTAGATGCTAGATATAATAACGAACCCTGTTGATAATTTCGTAGACGGTAGGGTCTGCCTGTTCAAGGTCTTGAGAGAGGATCTAATGCTTGTTTAGTAAGGTCCTTATCTCAAAGTTGTGTACTATAGAAGGCACCTTTTGCTGAGCATCCAAAGTGGTAGCGTAGCCCCGCCATTGTCGCAATGATGCTCGAGGGGCGATTGAAGGCGGGAAACGAGAGGAGAGGTGGCGCAGAGGCGCTCTGCAAATCGGCCTGAGGGACGCCATGAGTACTGCGGTGTGTAGGGCTCGAGGAGCGTGGCGCGCAAGTTTATAAAGACAGCCGCGATGCAGCCGGACTCATAGTCTCGAAGCGGCAACCAAACGATGAGCTCCGCTTAATGACGGCGCGAGAGCGGCGCTGTATGGTCGGGGTGGGGTGCGTCGGCGCCGATAAATCGTTTCTCCGGCGGGAAATATTTGCACTTCGGTCGCGCGTCGCTCCGCCTCTCTTTTTCTCTTCACGTAACTAAACCCGAGATGATATGAATGCTTTGCTTCAGTCGCATCCTCACTTGGCCGGCGCAAGCTGGTCGACGTGGGAGCTGCTGACACGCCCCGGCACCCACCACCTAGGGGGACGAGACTCTCTATGATCGGCCTACGTTGCGTAGATGCGTCGTGGCATCCATTGCCCAAGCTCGAAGCATTTTGGAATACGGTGTTTTCGACTTGTTGTCGTGGTCCTGACGCGGCCATATGTACTTGTGTGTAGCATACCAAATTCAATCCCCTTGTTTTACTCTGCTGTATTTCCATGTCTCTCCATCTCTTTCCTCTTGCCTCTCCCTGTCGTATCGCGACCCAATGGCCCACGTGACTATCTCTCCATCCAGGTTCACCACAGCGAAGAATCATGGACAGACGATATCGTATTGTATACATCTAAGAATCCTTACCAACCTAGTACACAATAAAGCCGTGCTAGTTACCTACCCAGCGGACAGGAAAGCAAAACTCCTATACAGGCTGTGCTTCATATCGTCAGCAGTACCGTTTACTCGCGTCTTTCTGATTATCTTCTTGGTTGCGAATACCACTCTAGCATAAAGTGAAGATGGTACGCCTAAGATTAGAAATGATTATAGTGAGTATCGTGGTGGTGATATGAAGCTCCAAAGTTGCCAACTCTCTGGCGTGTCATTGATTTTGGTTGGGTGGCCTGTGGAGAGAGTCGCCTTTCTTGACCACTCGGTGTTTCCCCTTTCTGTGTCCACACACATAAAACAACATCCGCCGAAGTCCGCCGCTTATGAGACTCCGAGATAAATCCGATGATGAGATAGGCTTAGCCCACCCTGGTAATGACCTCGGCATACCCCAGGTTCTCCACAATTGGGGCTGGTGCTTGCAGTCAGCGCCGAACAGAAACAGTATCCGGACGAACTAACGTCATTGTGGAAGTCCGGGTAACGACTTAAAGTCTCGGGCACTCGCGCGCGTCTCAACTCCTTCCTACACTTCGAATTGAGGCTGAACATTAGGTGAGTCCCTGCAGGGCCTCCAAAGCTTAGCGCATAACTAACGTGCAAGCAGAAAGTACTCAACATGCCCTTCTATCCTCCACCATGGGTTCCAAAGCTTCCATTCGATCCGCCCGACTCGATCCCCATCTCCGACTTCATGTTGGATGAGAACTACGGCCGCCATCCGCTTGGTTATTCACACAATCCCTTTACTTGCGGCGTGACAGGCAAGACGTATGAGAGCCTCGAGGTTCGAGAACGCGTCGACTATCTTGCCCGGGGGTTGGCCAAGGAGCTTGGCTTCGACCCAAACAAAGGATCCGAATGGGACAAGGTCATTGCTGTCTTCTCTCTGAATACCGTGAGAACCTCCAATCAAGCGCATATGCCAAAATACTCACATGAATAGATTGACACACTCCCCTTGGCATGGGCCACCCATCGCTTAGGCGGTATCCAGACGCCCGCCAACGCTGCCTACAGCGCCTCTGAACTCGAATATCAGCTGAAGAACTCGCACGCAAAAGCTCTCTTCACATGCGTTCCTCTATTGGAAACGGCACGGGCAGCCGCTAAGAACTGTGGAATCCCTGAAAACCGCATATATATTCTCGAGTTGCCAGAGAAGATCGCGGGAAAGAGCACACCCAAGGACAAGAAGACGGTGGATGACTTCATCCGCGAAGGCTCAAAGCTTGACCGCTTACCACCATTGAACTGGGAGGCCGGTGAGGGTGCTCGAAGGACCGCGTTCCTTTGCTACTCCAGTGGTACCTCTGGTCTGCCTGTAAGCAGTGACCTCTGATAGCCTCTTGCGACTATGCTGATTCAGATGCAGAAAGGCGTCATGATCTCACACAAAAATGTCATTGCCAATACGCGTAAGATGTCCTGGATGCATCTAAAGATAACAATAGATCTAACAATTCTTAGTACAAATTGCAACTTTCGAAAAGCCGTACCGAGACACCATCATCAACGATGTACGAAACCAATCCGACTACACTGAAATGACACTGGGTCTCTTGCCCATGTCGCACATTTACTCGCTGGTTGTCATTTGTCATGCCGGCGTCTACCGTGGCGATGGTGTGGTGGTTTTACCAAAGTTTGAGTTTGAGAATACTTTGCAGGCGATACAAGATTACAAAATCAACGCGTTGTTCTTGGTAAGCATAATGTGATCCTGGACAGAGACACATGCTAACGGATAAGGTTCCCCCGATCATCATTCAAATGACGAAGAATAAAGACTTGCTCAGCAAGTATGACCTCAGCTCCGTCTGGTCACTGTTCACCGGTGCAGCACCTTTGGGACAAGAAACAGCCGAGGATCTGCAAAAGATATTTCCCTCATGGAAGATCAGACAAGGCTATGGCCTCACGGAAACCTGCACTGTTGTAACCTCATCGGCGCCGGATGATATCTGGTACGGCTCTTGCGGCTCCATAATTTCAGGTGCAGAGTGCAAGATTGTAACTCCCGAGGGTACCGAGGTCACTGGGTATGACCAACCGGGCGAGCTGCTTGTCAAGTCGCCTTCAGTTGTGCTAGGATATCTCAACAACGACAAGGCCAACCAGGAAACATTCCAGGATGGTTACATGCGTACTGGAGACGAGGCTGTCATCAGAAAGTCGTCTTCTGGCAACGAGCATGTGTTTATTGTCGACCGCATCAAGGAGTTGATCAAGGTTCAGGTACGTCTGAATATACCATCTGAGGCGTCTGTTGCTAATTACCACCTAGGGACATCAAGTCGCGCCAGCAGAACTCGAAGCTCATCTTTTGACGCACCCTGCTGTCAATGATTGCGCTGTGATCCAGATTCCAAATGAGAAGACTGGAGAAGTACCCAAAGCCTTTGTTGTCAAGGCAGCCTCTGTGAACTCCAAGGATGACAGCACCCTTGCGCGCGAAATCCAGAAGCATGTTGAAGACCACAAGGCGAGATACAAGTGGATTAGCGGCGGAATCGAATTCATCGATGTCATCCCCAAATCACCGTCCGGAAAGATTTTACGACGAATGTTGAGGGACAAGGAAAAGGAAAAGAGAAGACAGACCGGAAGCAAGTTGTAGGATAGGGGAAAATCTTTATCACTCTTATTGGCACAATAGTGCTATCTGTAAGTGATATGAGTTCAGTCGCACTGATTACAATTAGATTAGCGCTACTTAATCTTTGGTTACAGCGGTCTCGCCCTTTAAAAATAGTCACAATCTTCGCAATTCGAACATTGTTTCAAGAGTCACACTGCCTTTCAATCGTACACGCCCAGCGTATTCGATACACATGCGGTAGCGAGAATTTTTGACAAGAGTGGGTCGAGCCCTATTTGTTGCACTGTCCCCACAGCACAACCTGCCTACCACTCAAGAAGATGCAGATGCATTCTGCTCGTCGTTGACGGACCAAGTCAATTCCCCCGAGATATTTACGGACTACTCGACAAATTCTCTTCATGCACTGTTCAAACATGGCTCGGTGGTGTAGTTGGTTATCACGTCAGTCTAACAATCAGTTAGATGCACTGAAGGTCCCGAGTTCAAACCTCGGCTGAGTCAACGTACATGTCTTCTCTTTCTCTTACTGGGAAAGAAAAAGAACATATCTTTTTCTTTTGTTTTTTTTGTTTTGCTCCGACGAGCAAACATACCTGGTACTTGCATTGCGGCAAATGCCATACTTGTTCCTGATCCACTCCCTGGACTAGGGGAAAAAGAAAGCAACTCCCACGTCCCTATGCCTCAATCTCTCTATTCTTTTTTTCTCAATGTCAATTTCACTAGCGAATCCCTTGATACATGACGGTACTAACGCCACATTTTCTTCATCAAAAAGCAAACAGCAAGGCTCGGTGGTGTAGTTGGTTATCACGTCAGTCTAACACCCTGTTAGGCACACTGAAGGTCCCGAGTTCAAACCTCGGCTGAGTCAACTGTAACAGCTACCTCGTCGGTAGCGAGCTATCCTTTTTGCTACTACAATCGTTTTGTGTTGTTGGGGTTCTTGTTCGGTAGTGTGGTGTGCAAGATCCAAATTTTTTTTCCCCTTAGCAAAGTGGAGACATAGAAAAGGCAAAAAAGCCTCGGCCCACGCAATAACTATGCGAACGAGGGGCTGGAACTCGTACTACATAGAATATCATCCCACTGTGCCGTAGGGAAAGAAAAAGAATAGTAGTCCAGTATACACATGTTCGATGTAACATTTAGATTTGTTTTTCTTCTCCCGAGACTACCTACTGGCATAGCAGCCAAAACAAGAAAGTGGTGTATGGGTCGATCTGCACTGACCACTATGAGGAAAAAAACTAACATTCGGACCCACGAACATCCGCTCCACACAACAAACATCCTTACTACTGCAACCAACCAACCACCACTACTACCGGCCAGCCAGCACAACTATGGCAAAAAGAATAAAGGTCTTGCCCGGAATCGAACCGGGGTTGCCGGAAGGCTCCTGAAAGCAAATCAGAATCCGGAGTGATAACCGCTACACTACAAAACCGATCCACGAGCTGTGATTGGTTGTGTTTGTTGGGAAAGAGAAGAAAATAGTGTGTATATATCCTTGATTGCAGTATCTTCATAGCAAGCTAGGGAGTCAGGAAAGCAACCTTACAGGAGTACAGTGATGTCGTGGCTCAGAGTCTTGAGGATAAGATAGGACAATTCAGCGAAGTGGATCAAGTGGAAACGCGAAAAGAGGTCACTGCAGTCCAAATGCTATCTGAACAGGGATATGTAAACCTCACTACAAAGAGAGACTCACTCTCCACACCCCACGTACCATGTATACACATATGCACATGTGCAATTTGTCTAAGAACTGAGGCCATTGGTAGTACAATCACCGGTTTTCTTTTCTGACACGGATGAGCGCATTACTTTTTCAAAGTCGATGTACCATTCATTCTTTCTGTGGACTATCAACCTATGAACCACCATAATCCTAGCCTCGATGCTCTAGTGTTTCACACTGCGCGAATGGCTAGTATTGTCGCTATCCTCTTCCACGCTTAAGCAAGAACAAAAGTGGATATAAAGCGGATAAAATAAAGAAGCAGAAAAGCAAAGATTGCTATGTCGATAAGCTAATCAAAGAGAAAAGATAGTGGCGACGAGCTCCTGTTTTGGGTATCAACAGTGTACAGCAAGTAGAAGCTGGCTTGCAAAAGAATAATTACAACGGGGAATAGAGATGTAGTGTTTGCGCGTGAGCGCGATGGCGTCTATAGCCTTGTTGGTCCGGCCCCCCCTATGAAAGTTTGGCCGAAATGTAAGATACAAATGGCTTTAGAGAAACGATGATAGGAAAGATCTAGTTGAGAATGATGGAACTCAACACTGATGACGTCGAGTCGTATGGGTCATTACCCTAGTATGAAGAAGAAAAGTGATAGGCAATAGCTGAAAGTTGGAATGCGTCCAAATGCGACAGACAACAAAGCAAGGCGGCGAGAAGAAATCGACCATTAAGCATGCCCATTACGCATGAACAAATCGTGACCTGGAGTAGCTCTTTTTAGAAGTTGCGGAAGGGATCGTTACCAATGTCGAAATCAAAGAGACCAGCACCACGACTAGACTGATCACGGGTGCTAGTGCTCCACTGGCTACTTCCACGACGACGACGGTGCTGCATGTACTGTGCCCGAGCTGAGCCACTGGCCGAATGCTTTTGATCACCAAGAGCGTTGTCAATAAACGCCTCCATGCGAACGGTGCCCATGGTATCGAAAAACTGTTGACGGGTTGACGTGCTAGCCTCAGAAGTTCGGGAACTCATTGCACCACCTGTGGGGTTGTATTCTGACGAGGGTATTGACGGTGGTACGCCAGCACTATACATGTCGGATGAGCCGTTCGAGTACACCGACGGTACATGTTGGTGGGAAAAACTTCGGAATGGAACACTCGGAGGAGGCGCGCTTGGGCCAGTCGAGCTCCTCTTCCTGCTGTGTTGTGGGCCACGTCGAATAACAGGTGGGCTGGCAGGTTCTTC